ATATCGATGATAAAGATATATAACTTATAATTCGTTGAGGTTATAAACATCAGTAGTTGATTAAAGTTTATAACCGGTGTTCAGTGTGTGACTATTCATAAAAGTGTTTATCATAGTTGAATAGAAAGTTTTTGCTGCCGGTGCTCAGTTGGTTGTTTTCTTAAAGTTTACATAGTTGTTAAACACTACAGGAAGATTATTATCAGTGCCCTGGTTGTTACTGTTGATACAAGTTCATTGTCGGTGCCCGGTAGGTGCCATTGTTATATAGAGATTAAATTTGGAATAACGATTGGCGGTGCTACAGAGGTACACCATTTTGATGAGTAATAAGTGTTTATTTTACGGGTTTCGTAAAAGTTTATTATTTTTGTAATAGTAATCCATTATTAAGTAATTATGGATTATGATAAATGGGTATCATTGGGAGAGAGGCTTGGGTTGAAGGACGGGGAGTTACGTGATTATGTTCAAAAGAAAGAATCAGAATATCTTGATAGAGAAGAGAGAAATATTAGACGTGAAGAAGATAAACGGCGATTTGAGGCCGAGCATAAAGCAAAAGAAGCTGAACGTGAGGAAGAGCGACGGCGATTTGAGGCCGAGCATAAAGCAAAAGAAGCTGAACGTGAGGAAGAGCGACGGCGATTTGAGGCCGAGCGTCTAGAAAAAGAAGCCGAGCGTGAGGAAAAGAAACGTTTATTTCAAGCTGAAGTAGAGATGAAAATGAAAGACCAAGAAATAGAATTAATGAAGTTAAAAATTGAGGCTGGGGATCGCCTTGATACCCCACCTAGCACCGGTTTGAGGCCAAGATTGCCTAAATTTGAAGAGTCAAAAGATGACATAGATGCTTATATAGAGCGTTTTGAAAGATTCTCTATCAGTCAAGGATGGAAAGAAGACACATGGGCAATAAGCTTAAGTTCGTTATTAACGGGGAAAGGTCTTGAAGTTTACACTAGTATGCCTCCTGAGCAAGCATCAGATTATCAAGAATTAAAAACAGCAGTTTTGAAAAGATACCAATTAACAGAAGACGGTTTCAGAACGAAATTTAGAGAGAGTAAGCCGGAACAAGGAGAGACTGTAAACCAATTTATGGCTCGATTAGATAGGTACATCAGTAGATGGACAGAAATGGCCGATGCTGCGGATACAGTAGATAAATTGAAAGATCTTATTATTAGAGAGCAATTTGTCAAAGTTTGTTCAACGGAGCTAGCTCTTTTTCTTAAAGAACGAAAGCTAAAGGATCGTAGAGATGTCATATCTTTGGCTGAACAATACTTAGAGGCTCATGGCGGTACAATTACAAATAGTAAAAGCTCAAAAGTTGCCAATTTTTCAAATAAATCACCAATACGCCTTAATCAAGGTAATCTATCGAAACCAATACAGCACTATCACAGAGAAAATAGAAAAGTTACATGCTTCATATGTAATAGAGAGGGTCATGTGGCCAGAGATTGTAGAGATCAGACTAAGAAAAGATATGGGGCTGCTGCAATGGCATATGGAGAGCAAAATAGAAATTACTTTAAAACAAATCGGGATTCTTCACCAAGGAACGTGGCGTAGTAGGCCTGGAGAAAATAGACGTGATTGGAGATCAGATGATAAGAAAATATCGGGGCTTATGTATGTCAATTTCTCCAACAAATTCTTATGATGGTTGTATTGAAGAGGGGGAAACTTAAATTAGCCAATGGTAATTCTGTGCCTGTCATTACAAGTAGCTGTACAACTTGAATCATTAGAAGGTGAACGTCAATTGGATTTGAAACTAGGATATGTTGGTAATCAAAGAGGCTGAAATTTCTTAGAGACATGGTTGCGGTTTTAAGCAGTAAGGTTTAGAAAGAAAGGTTAGTGGAAGAAGATTCAAAATTGCTGAATAAAAATTTTGTCAAGATAGAAATAGATGGGTCCGGGCCGGTTTGGGTACCTATGGCAAAAATAAACATTGAACACCCTTATTATAAGGGTAAAATAGAAGCACTGGGTTTTTAGAGTCAGAATTTGTGGATTAGTCTTGGGGCAAATATTCAGGGTGTACTTGATAAACCCAAAAAGAAGTGGCGTTTAAGCCGAAAAGTAAAAACATAAGCTGCTGTTTTTACTAGAGCACAGGCCCCGAAAAGAGAAGAAAGCAATGAAACCTTCTTAAAAGTTCCAAAGGGTCGAAATAATGAAATTACGTAAATATGTTCTTAACAAAGACAATCAAATGACTCAATACGTTACAGGCGTTGTGTGGCAGTATGCTAGGGAAAATAAGATCATGAAAACAAAAAGCGGTAACAAATTTTTAGATATGAAGTTAGAAAAAGTGTGTTGTATAGAAATTTGAGACGGTGAAAGGTGATTTGAGAGTCGAAACAAGACAAAATAGTTGTTCCTATTAAATATCACAAAAGAGTTATGTCATTTTAGCTTCATGAATCTATAGTGGGTGGCATTTGTCTGTACGCAAGACTTTAGACAGGATACAGTCTAGTTTTTCACTGGCCAGCGTATTTCTAGTGAAATAACTAGATTTTGTCGTTCCTGTGACATTTGTCAGAAACGGTGCCCAGGGGGTAGACTTCAGAAAGCTCTTTAGGTGAAATGCCTATTATTGATACTCCGTTCAGAGAATTTGCGGTTGATTTGATAGGGCCAATAACGCTGTATCGGAAAAGAGAAATAGGTACATATTAACTGTAGTTGATTATGCTACACGTTACCCAGAAGCTGTTGCTTTACCAAGAATTGAGACTGAAAATATAGCTGAAGCATTGTTAGATATTTTTGCAAGAGTAGGTTTCCCATCGGAAATACTTAGTGATAGGGGAAGTCAGTTCACGTCACAACTTATGGAAGAAGTTTGTAGGCTAGTATCACTAAAACAGTTGTTTACGACCCTTACAATCCAAAATGTAATGGTCTTTGTGAGAGAATGAATGGTATTTTAAAAAGCATGTTGAAGAAAATGTGCCAAGAACGACCTAAGGATTGGGATAGATATTTGTCTGCGGTTCTCTTTGCATACAGAGAAGTCCTCAGTCAAGTACAGGGTTCTCGCCATTTGAACTTCTATATGGAAGAACTGTTAGAGGTCCCATGCAAGCACTAAAAGAATTATGGACAGAGACAGAAGTACCAGAGACACGTAATACGTATGAGTACGTACTAGATTTGAGAAATAGATTAGAACAAACATGCAAGATTGCTAGAGAGAATCTCAGCAACTCACAAGAAGAGTATAAACATCATTATGATAAGAAAACTAGACCAAGAAGTCTTAAGAAAGGAGACAAAGTTTTATTGCTCCTGCCTTCAACACACAATAAACTGATGTTACAATGGAAAGGTCCATTTGTTGTAAGTGATGCAGTTAACAAGTTTGACTACAAAGTTAAAGTAGGTGATAGAATTAGGATGTACCACATTAATCTTCTGAAGAAATATGAAGAACGAGAAGATAAAATTTGTGCGAGTGTAGCTGTAATAGAAGCCGAAAATAATGATGATACTGGGGCTGTTGATGATGAAAATCTTTTAGAACTAGTAGACACACAGGGTGAAGAGACATACAGAGATGTTAATATTAATGATCAATTAACACTTGAACAAAAATCAGAAGTAAATGCGTTGCTTCAAGAATTTGAGGATATTTTTACTGATATTCCCGGAACTACAGATCTTGAATCTCACAAGATTGAGTTGACTGACAAAACACCAATTCGTGTTAGACAATATACGATACCATATGCAAAAAAGGACAGCGGTAGAGGAAGAAATTAAGAAAATGCTTGAATGTGGTATCATTGAACCAGCAAATTCTGATTATAATTCTCCAATTGTTTTGGTGAAGAAAAAGGATAATACAAAACCGCTTTTGTATTGACTTCAGACGACTCAACTCTGTAACAAAGTTTGATACAGAACCAATGGGTAATGTTGAGGATGTGATGGCGAAACTTAAAGAAGATAAGTTCTTCACGAAAATTGATTTGACCAAAAGGTTTTTGGCAAATACCAATTGAAGCAAAATCAAGACATCTCACAGCATTTTCTACAACAGAAGGTAGTTACCAATTCAGAAAGACGCCATTTGGAATGGTCAATTCTGGTGCAACATTTAATAGAATGATGCGGAAGTTGCTTTCCGGAGTGAATGATACTGATAACTATGTTGACGATGTGCTTGGACATACGGTTACATGGGAGAGACACATGAAGATGTTGAGACAATTGTTCGAAAGAATACGAAACGCAAAGATCACAGTTAAGCCTTCTAAATGTATGATTGGATTTGAAAGTATACCATTTACCGGTCATGTTGTTGGCAAAGGACAAATGCAAATGGAAGATGACAAATTAGTCAAAATTAGAGACGCTATGCGACCAAAGTCAAAGAAGCAACTGAGATCATTTCTTGGTCTAGCTGGATACTACAGAAAATTCATTGCTTCATTTGCAGAAATTGCTTCACCCTTGACTGATCTTACGAAGAAAGGACAGCCAAATAAAATCATATGGAAACCAGAACATGAAAAAGCCTTTACGACATTGAAGCAAGTACTGACACGATCACCAATACTACGACTTCCAGACTTTTCAAAGTCCTTTGTTTTGCAATGTGATGCTTCAGATACCGGAGTTGGGGCTGCACTTCTTCAACAGTTTGATGATGGTCTGCTTCCAATAGCTTACGCGAGTAAGAAATTGTTGAATAGAGAAAGAAACTACTCGGTTATCGAAAGGAAATGTCTTGCAATGGTATTCGGAATAAAGAAATTCAACAAATATTTGTACGGGAAAGAATTTGAGCTGCATACAGACATGCTCCTTTAACGTACATTCAGAAATGTAAAGTTGAAAGTGGCCGCATAATGAGATGGGCATTATTTCTACAGAACTATAAGTTTAGAATAGTAGCTGTTTGAAAGGAAAGGACAACGTGTGTGCAGATTACCTAAGTAGACTCGATACCTGAAAAGAGACATTGTAGATTATTCATTTTTGTTTGAAAACAGTGGAGTGTTTTCTTTAGTAGGGGGCTGTAGAATAATCACAGTTTTTTACTGTACATAGTTTTTTTTTTTAAACAACGAGTCAGCGATACACTGAAGTGTATCATATTTCAAATGTACAGTTTTCATTTATAAAACCTGTTGCTGGGAGTGTAAAATTTATCTACACATGTTTAAATGTCAGATCGTTTATGCTAGTAAATATGCGCGTTTAGAGAGAGATTTTACATTAGTTAGGAGACACAACCACGCTTATAGTGTTGAGGGGTTATTTTTTTTATTGGGAAGAGAATTTTGTTGTTTTGAAGTCAGTTTTATTGGTTTGTTGAAGTGGTTTGAATATAATTGTGGTGATCTTAATTGATCAGGGTTTATTGGTTGTAATTTGTTTTGTTGAATTATATCTGTTTGTGAAGAATATAATTGGTTGATATTGGGTTGAATGTTTGGTATTATATCAAGATTATTTAGTTGCTGCTTTGTTTTTGAGGATATATGTAAATATGGATGCTTTAGTTTAAGTTGTTTTCTGATGCTGATATAGATGGCGTGAAGTTAATATTGTTGGATGAATGTTTGTGGTTTATACTGTATCTTCGAGTTGTAAAAATATTCATTTTTTGTGTTGTTCGTTTTGTGGTGATTTTATTGTTATTTGATCATAAGTTGTTTAGAGCTTGGCTCGCCAGGTGTCTTGTTTCGTATAAAAGACGTATACGTGAAAAGATATTTCATATACGTGGCTGATAAATGATGTGTGTTTGTTTTGGGTGTAAATAATGATCAGAGTTCTTTGTTTTGGGTGTAAGTAATAGTCAGAGTTTGTTGTTTACATGTATATATTGATTTGAGATAGAAAAAGATAAAAATACCTAAAAAAAGATAGTGTTAACTAAACAATTACATGCTAGTTTTCCAACTGAGAATATTTCACTTTTATGTCAGGCGGTGCTGCCCAGCCTCCATATCTTGGAAATTGGTTCTAGTATTTATTACTAAATCTTTTCTTAGATTAAATAACATCAAGGCAGACATTTCTCCTGACACTTTATCTATATCTTTGTAGCCTGGTTGTCCTTGAAGTAAACCTGCTGGCCCATGTATTTCACTGTCTCTATTAAAAAAATATACTACAGAATTCTTTAAAAACAATTTTCCTGTTCTGTCTTTGAAGAAGAATTGATTAGAATCACCATCAGTAGAAAGAGGAACATCATCTCTCAGACGTTGAAGTAAACAATACCCAGGAGATACAGAATTATCTTGAATCATCAAGAGATTAGGTACACCAGGTATCCAGTCACTCCAGTCTTGTATCACAGTATATGTTTTATCGTACACAAGTTGATCTATGTCTGATTTTATTCCTATTGTAGTTGTACCTTCTGATTGACTCCCAAAAAAGTATGTTAACATACTATTCTCATCAAGTAGTTGATCATTTATGTTCCGTAGTGATTCTCTCAGAAGCCATGTTCTTCTCCTCTTCAGTGTCATTCTCTCATCAATACCTATATCAGCCAGAACCTCTGATAATCTCATTGACACAGTCTTGGTGTAATTTGGTACTTGATACATTCTGAAAATAACAATAATGTTCATTTCTAATATATTCAATTTCTTTACTACTTCTTCTGATTTTCTTATCTAAGATTACCATTATCAGATTAATATTGTTTTTTGTGTTAAATTGTCAATTTTCCTTTATAGAAAATTGTTTAAAAATGAGTTGATATCATCATCTTTATGAATTATGATGGTTATCAAATTTTGTTATTATATGAGAAATGTATTATAGAATTTGTATTTGGTGAAAATTGATTTATACTTTTTATTTTCACATACCCTATGAATCGAAAATCTCAATCAAATCTAAAACTTTTTAATCAACCCGGTTTTTGAGAAATTTTTCATTTTATCTTTGATCAAATACAAAACTTGACCTCTTTTTGAAATAAATTTTAACTTGTCAGTAGTATAGAGAAATCATTAAATTTTTACCTTTTTGTTTATATCTGCTGCAGATTTAAGATCATGAAGTCACTAGATGTTCAGTATTTTTAAAGAAAAACAAAATATTATAGAAGTTTACAACAAAAGTAATTGGGTTTTTCTGGATTTATTTTTAACTTCCTCTTTCTCTTTTAATCTTAAGAAGATAACTCTGTTGAGCAGTTATTTCATATCTGACATTTGTTGTCTCCCATTGTTGAAGAAAACTTACCATTATTGTCTCCCTTTGTTGAAGAAAACTTACTGACAAGATATTAAGACAAGATAAGATAAATTATCCTAAGTTCATGCTTCATGTATGCTTCTTGTATGTAAAAGGGACTCCACTGAGTTTTTGTGTCATGAATACCGACTTGAAATATATTTTCAAGATTAATGTTCCATTTCATGTAGGTCTAGACCATTAACTTTTGTTATAAAAAATCAGATCATTGACTCAGTTTGTTTTTTCGAGAAAAGTTATTCGTATTGTGAAAAGTGACACAAAACTGTTACTAAGTTACTACGCTAAGAATAGCACAAACGTATGATTTTTTGTGATATATAGAGATCACTTCTCCGTCTTTTGTCAGTCAGTCTGTCTGTACAAACATACAAATATTTAGGGGAATATGGGAACAATAGGTAACTTTATATTTCCTTTGATGCTACTCATTCTGTAAGCTCTTATGTGGCTATTTCTTATGTGGCTAAAAGAACAAAATAGAGAATAAATTAGTAACCACTAGGATACAAAACTTCGAGCATGTCCGTCAGTCCGTCAATCCGTCACAAAACATTTATGAACTACCCCTCAGAAACTACTGGTGCAATTTCATCCAAAATTTACAGAAATGATCAGTACCAAGTTTAGTTGTCCGTATCTTCGGCATTTACTGGTTCAATGATTTTTGTAAGAGTTGTGGCTCATTAATTAATATTATTTTAAAGTTTGTCCAGACTAGTCTCCTTATACCACTAATGCAATTTTTATGAAACTTTACAGGATTGATATGTAGCTCTAGTACTTGCGCATATTACAAGGATTTTCCAGTGGAATAATTTTTGGCCGAGGAATAGCACTTGAAAATACGGTTTATACGGTGGTTTTTTGTTTGTTGCCAGCTGCATAGAAGCTTGTCAGGACTACTCCTCAGAAACTGCAGGTTCAAGTTCAACTTAACAGGAATTATCTGGAAAAAAAATTTATGGCCCTTAGATATATATCGCATTTTGCCCTGTTAATGATTTATGTGTCTCTTGCTATATAGTAGCTAGAACATGCAATAGGCTATCATGAGGCGCCTTATGTGATCACTGATTGCTCTTGTTGAAATATAGCCTTCACACTTAAATGTTCTTAACGTTCAAGGTCAGATTTTAAAAATTCAGGAAATTTCAGTTATGAACAGATGCCACAGGGGCATTAATATAATGTTTTCTGAACATATTTTATTTTCATGCCACCGCAGCATCTGTGTGTGTGTGTGTGTGTGTGTGCGTGTGCGTGCGCGTGCGCGTGCGTGTGCGCGTGTGTGTGTGTGTTATATAGATTATATAATGAATTTAAAAAATCTTCTTGTGAAAAACCACTAGTCCAATTTCAACCAAACTTGTCAGGATTGATCCTTGGGTGAAGGGCTTCCAAATATGTTCAAAAAATAACATTCCATGCAGAAATCTGGTTGCCATGGCAACCAAAAGGAATTATAAGAATAAATTTGAAAATTCTTCTTGTAAAGACCCAAAAGGCCTAGAGCTTAGATATTTTGCATAAGGCATTGTCTGGTAGACCTTTACCAAGATTGTTCAAATTATAGCCCTGGGGTCAAAATCGGCCCCGCCCCGGGGGTCATTGATTTTCACTATATGTACATATAGTAAAAACTTAAATTACCTTCTTGTAAAAATCCAAAAGGCCTAGAGCTTAGATATTTTGCATAAGGCATTGTTTGGTAGACCTCTACCCAGATTGTTCAAATTATAGCCCTGGGGTCAAAATCTGCCCCGCCCCGGGGGTCATTGGTTTTCCTTATATGTATAAAGTAAAAACTTACAGTAAAACTTTAAAAAAATTTCTTCTTGCAATTGACAAATGCTAAAGGTTAGATATTTTGCATGAAACATTGAGAAGTGAACTTCCAGCAAGATTGTTCAAATTATAGCCCTGGGGTCAAAATTGCCCGCGCCCCGGGGGTCATTGATTTTCAATATATACATAATAGTAAAAAAATCAAAAAAATCTTATTATCTGAAGATACAAGGCTTAGAGCTTTAATATTTGTTAAATGATAATCATCTATAGGTACTCTACCAAAGTTGTTCAAATTTTGTCTCTAGTGTCAAAATTTGCCCCGCCACGGGGGCCATAGGTTTTCCTTATATGTATATAGTAAAAACTTAAAAAAAAACATCTTCTCTTAATTTACAAATGCTAGAGTTAAGATATTTCGCATGAAAAATTGTGTAGTGAACCTCTAGCAAGATTGTACAAATTATAGCCCTGGGGTCAAAATTGGCCCCATCCCCAGTGGTCATTGATTTTCACTATGTACATATAGTAAAAAATTCTAAAATCTTCTTGTCTGAAGGTACAAGGCTTAGAGTTTGATATTTAGTATATTATATCATCTATGGGTCCTCTACAAAAGTTGTTTAAATTATGCCCCTAGTGTTTAAATTGCCCTGCTCCAGAGGCGATAGTTTTCCTTATATGTATAAAGTAAAAACTTGAAAAATTTTCTTCTCTGAATTGAAAAATCTTCTTTGAATTGACATAGGCTAGAGGTTAAATATATGGCATGAGACTTTGCGAAGTGAACCTTTACCAAGATTGTTCAAATTATAGCCCTGGGGTCAAAATTGGTTCCGCCCCGGGGGTCATTGATTTTCATTATGTACATATAGTAAACAAATAAAAAATATTTTTGTCTGAAGATACAAGACATAGAGCTTTGATGTTTGCTATATAATATCATCTATAGGTCCTCTACCAAAGGTGTTCAAATTTTTACCCTGGTGTCAAAATTGGCCCTGCCCGGGGGCAATGATTCTCATTATGTACACATAGTAAAAACAGAAAATAAAACAAATGTTTTCTGAATGGAAGAAAGCTACAGCTTTTAGATATTTGACTTGAAATGTTGTTTTGGTGGACCTGTATCAAGATTGTTTTTAATTAAACCCTTGGGTCCAAAATGTTGCCTTGTCCAAGGGGACAGTGACCTACTTTCTTGTCCTTTTGATGTACAGCAATGAATTTTGACCATGTGCACAGTTTTAGTTGTAAAATTGAACTTTGATATCAGGTGACCTAGATTTTGATGATGTGACCTACTTTCTTGTCCTTTGATGTACAGCTATGAAATTTGAACCATGTGCACAGATTAAGATGTAAAGTGAACGTTGATTTCAGCTGACCTAGATTTTGATAAAGTGTCTTACTGTGTTGTCCTTTGATGTAGTCATGAAATTTAGGCTGTGTGAAATATGACCTTCACCACCAAATTCACTAGACTCGAGTGCATTGATATATTCCTACTCTGATCTTTTATTGAGTTAACAACAGATTTAACCACTTATCTGATAATAAGAATTAGATTATTTATAAGGTCAGGGATCTATGCATTATGACAATCTTTAAAATTGTATTGAAACAAAAAAAAATCTGTTCCTACAGTACTATTTAGTATTGTATTAATGCGGTGGCATAGCATTTTTCTCAAATGCAATCTTGTTTGTTTTGATGAGAAATCTCCAGAGCTTTAGAACAAGTTGGAGGCAGGCAGCTTTGAAATGATAGAATATAATGATAAACCATAGAATTTTTATATTGCATTAATAGATTAAGAAAGAAAAGACTATTTACATAAATGCTGCAAAAAATCGCCATATTGATAATATACTGAGTTTTCCTGCAAATTTGAAATATACCGGGGGTATTGAATTTTCCTGCAAATTTGAAATCCCCAAAAGCTTCTTATTTATTATTTTTTTGTATTGAAAGATAGAATAGTAAATGTTATGCATTTTTATGGCTATTATTGAATTTGCTTGATTGTTTCTGTGCCATTGAAAAGTAAACCCATGCACATATGATCATATCTGTACCTTCCTTGTATGTATAGAAACTCGTAGTTATCATCCACTGAAAGCACTGGCTGCATCTTTCCTCTGCTAAATTTATGTAACAGACTTGAATAACATTTAATTTTGATTTTTATAGAGATTTTTATACCATTTGATGTGGGTTTATACCAATAACTTGTGTGCAAAATTTCAGATCAATTTGTTCACTCTGTTTTACTAGAATAATCAATTCTGTTTTACTTGAATAATTATTGTTATTGTGTAATATGAATTGAAAATGAAAAACATTGATTTGAATTTTAATTTCAAATTCTAAAATTATGGCAAAATTATACCATAGTAACATATGCTAAAAGTATTTGTTTACCATCAATGAATCAACTGATTTATTTTTACAAAAATTTTACATGTAGAATAGTTAATACATGTTACTGAAACTATGGTTTTTCAGATGTTTTGGCAATGCTTACAATTTTCTGTTTTGACTACATATCAAATCCAAAGTAGATAAAATTTCATTTGTACTAAGCAGTGATAAGAAGTTTTTCATGAAGTTTGTATGATTTTTAGAGGGCAATAAATCACTTTTTATCCCTCATTTCCACTTGTATATTTCCCAGAACAATCTATTTCCCACCAAAAAAAAAAAAAACGGTTCTTCGATTGAGAACAAAAAGAAGTACTAATAATATTAATAATCTTGCAAAATGTAAAAATTGCCTTACATCAGAACTTTTGAGTACTTGATTTTCAAGTCGCATGCTTATATTCAAGATAAGGTGGATGATGTTATTGTAATATTAATTGGACCTGTAAAATTCTATTATTTTCTTCTTCAGAATTTTACCAATCAGTTGAAGGAAATAGGAAAAGTGCTGGAAATGGTCTGAACAAGAGCAGTAGGAGCAAATAGAAAGAATCTCTATCACTTAGAAGAATACAGATCTAGTAATCTCTATATCCCAGAGGACTGCATTGTGTTTAATCTTAGACCGTATAGGAGACCGAATAATGTATCATTTACAATATTACAACAGTCAGTGATGTTGGCATAGCCAGGAAAATAAATGTACATGTTGAAGAGTATTATAATGTATTTTGATTGATTTAGAAACGTCATGACTGAAGTAATGCAGAGGGACGTCTAAGGTCTTCGCTAAGAAATTTCCATATGACTTTTACAGTGCTGTAATGATTTGAAACCCTGCAAAAAACATGAACTTACTTGAAGATTGTCTACATGTACAATCAATTCTGATTATGACTTTCACTAATTTTTACATGACAGTCTTTATTACAATTCATCTTGTATAATTTAACTTTTTTTCTCTTCACTTACTGCAACTGACCAATTGATAAGATGAACAAGTGTTTGTCCAGCTTTATATACAATGAATGTATATGGTTTACAAAATAAGCCAGAACATTCCGAAGCAGGGGTGAGTAACCAGAAGCATTCGTTAGAGTTACGATCATCGTTAGGCCTTGGTTAAGCTCTAGTTAGTAATTTACCCTCTAACCCGAAACGTTCGTTATACCAAAAATACTAACGAAACTGTCGTAAAATAACGACTACCTCGGAGTACACGTTAGACCTTCGTTGAAGGAAAAAACAACGTCTGAAGCTCTTTAAACAAACTTTTTATGAGTATGTATTATTTATATCACCTATTTTCTTCCTATTTTCTTGTAATAAGTCCTTGATATGATGTTGCAATCGGTAAATGTCTTAAACTTAAGTGAGCATTTCTTTCGTAAATGATTTTAAGAATAATTCCAAATATCTTAATACAAGTGATGTTGTTTTTTCATTCGCAGACAATGGCCGCCATGCTGCTAGAGTATTTAGATAACTGATAGACTTTGGACACTTATATGTTTAAATGCTTCTAAGGAGGTTGATTAATTTCATCAACTGACATAGAGAATACAAAGTGACCTGTTAATCGCCTTAGTTATCTTATGGAATAGTATTCTTTCTTATTTATCTCAAAACAAGCTAACACTATGTGTATTGCATGTTTAGCAATACATCACATTCTTTCATGTATGAAATTAAATAGATATAATATTACATTAAAGTTTCAATTTTTTAATACTAAAAGACTTAGAAGTTATACTAGTTCTATATACAAAGTGAAATTAAAGAATTCAGCATAAAGACATTCATGTACAATGAAAGAGTGTAACACAGTATATGGATAAATTTTGACGTGTTTGGTTATATATGAAATTCAGCGGATTATATTTAAAAAAAAAACAACATTATATATCTTTCATATACTTTAAATAAATGGTTAATCTCTATTTTCATGAAAAGTAGAGTTTATCAATCGAAACTTGCTTTGTCTCTTATGTAATTTTCAAGCTAGCAACATACGAAGGTTTATTAAATATTTTCACCAGTGTGTAACAAAGGTTATGTAAAGAAAGTTTTACAGAAAAAGCAATTCATTTCTTTATTTGCATCATTTAAATCAAAACAAAAATCACTTTGCTATTTAGCGTCAATATTTTTAAAAGCATCGATTAAGATATTAGCGAAGATATATTTGCCATTGGCCAACAATCATAAAGTTTGAAACTATTTTATAACCTTATTCTTAAAAAATGATTCACATTTATTAAAAAATGTATACTTTGCCTTTAAAGGAAAGATGATTAACATTTTCTCTTAAATTGTTTTAAATCTTTATTTATTTTTCATCACAAAGAAATATCAAATCAAGATAAATGTATATATATAGCATTTCATCGAGGAGATAATTCACTGTATATTTGTCTCAAAAAGTATCCAAATTTTATTGATTTTTATTTTTTAACAATTACTCTTAGATAGTGTACTACTCTATTTCATCACACACATACCAAAATATTCTACATCTTAAAGATGAGGCCATGAACTTATATCTATACTCTCCTTTTGTTTTTTGTTACAAATCCAAAATGTTCAGTTGTAATTATGTTCATGTAACAGTATTTCTTGTCTATAGTTTTTGCTAGAAACGTTGTATAATGTTTAAAGCAAATAAACGTTATGTATTGTTTTGTATTGTATTGTATTGTATTGATAAATTTGATTAGTGAATATATATGTCTGTATTAATGAACATACAAATTCCATCTAACATTTTTGTGTAACTTGTAGAATTTTTCTGATGATAAATCTGTTATATAAAATGCATATTTAATTACGTTTAAAACAGTTTATCCTCAACACTATAATATCAATTTTGGTTGATTTGAAATAACGTTCTTGTATAATTACTGAAGCTCGTACTATATATAACTCCATTAAAATGTAACGTGACATTATCTTCAAAGTTTATTTTAAAAATCATTGAAAATTTGTATTGAAATTGTATTGTTGATGCATTTCTATCAATGTATCATCACATTTAGTATGATTATGTACTATGTACATGTCAAAATAAAATAATGTTCTGTTCTGTTTTGTATATCCGAAGACTTAGAATTGCTTTCTTTAGATTCGTTTAACGGCGAACGTATGGCATACATACATACACATACATACACAAACAAACAAACAAACAAACAAAAAAACAAACAAACAAACAAACTGTGTTCACAGATTTATATAGCTGCACATTTGCACAAAAAATTTAAACAAATTATAAACAGTTTAAAAACAATTATTTGTACGTGCAATGTAATCTATGCAGGAAAAGCTAATAACAGGTGGTGCCAAAATGCTGTGTATACCCTTAACGATTTCACAACGATTTCGTTAATGAATGTTACTAACGACTGATTAGCGATAACATAACGATGCTTTCTGGTTATGCAACAAAAACAATCGATAAAATCACTAACGTGTTCGTTACACGATCGCTAACGCTTTCGTTTGCGTGATTTTAACGAAAGCTTCGGGTTACTCACCCCTGAATACTAGTATCACAACAATTTAAGGCTTCATATTTTAAACTTTATTTAACTAAATATAGTATACATATAGATATTTATTATTGTATGTCTAATAAAACAAAAGAGTATAAATTGTATGAAATTTTAAAGTTTTTTTGTACAGAATTTTCACTTAAATCAAATGACAACTGACATTTTTCAGACTGTCAAAGTATGTGTGCTTTTTATGCTGAGTTCAAGAACTTGGCAGTCAGTCCACATCAACGGCTTTCCTGGATTACTTATCAGTACTTACCATTTAATCCTGTCTGGAATTATTTGTCAGTAGTTACCAGCTACATTTGTAGCAAGATTACATGATCATTAAATTAATAGTTAATTGTATAATTATATAACTATATCTCTACAATAAACTGTAAATAAGTATGTCTCACTGTTAGGGATAGCTGTTGACATTATTATAGGTAAAACAATTGTTCAAATAAAAGCCATTGATTTTTCCCTATATGTATATAGAAAAAACTAACAAAATCTTCTTTTGAAAAAAAAACCAAATAGCTACAGCTTAGATATTAAGCATGAGACATCTGCTAGTAGGGGTCTACCAGGTTGTTCAAATAAAAGCCGTGGGGTCAAAATTGGCTGTACCCTGGGGGGGGGGGGGCTCATTGATTTTCCTTATATGTATGTTGTAAAAACTTTGAAATCTGCTTTAAAAACCAAATGAGCTAGAGCTTAAATATTAAGCCTGAAAGATCTCCTAATTGGTGTCTACAAAGTTTGTTCAAATAAAAGCCCTGGGGTTAAAATTGGATTGCCCTGGGGGGCATTGATTTTCCTCATATGAATATAGTGGAAAACTAGAAAAATCCTCTAAAAAACACAAATAGTGAAAACTAAATCATTTAGCATAACTATCTTCTAGTAAGTGTCTACCAAGTTTGTCCAAATAAAAGCCCTGGGGTGCAAAATTGGCCCGCCCTAGGGGGTCGTTGATATTGCTTATATGTACATATATATTGAAAAAAAATCTTTTTTTAAAAAAACAAACAGCTAGAGCTTAGATATATAGAATGAAACATCTTCTAATGGGTGTCTACCAAGTTGGTTCAAATAAATACCACGGGGTTAAAATTAGCCTGTCCGGGGGGTCATTGATTTTCCTATATGAATAAAGTAAAAACTAAAATACATCTTCTTAAAAAGACAAATAGCTAGAGCTTAGATATTAAGCATGAAATATATTTTAGTGAGTTGGGACCGCCCCAGTCATTGATTTTCCTTATATGTATATACATGTAGTAAAAAAATTAAAACATCTTTTAAAAAAAATAAAAGTGCTGGAGCTTAGATATTTGGCAATAAAAATCTTCTGATGGATGTCTACCAAGTTCGTTCATTACACATAAAAACCCTTAGGGTCATAAATTGGCCCTGCCCAAGTGGGTTATTGATTTTCCTTTTATGTATATTGTAAAAAATTAAAAAAATTAATAAATGAATTTGGCCTGGTGGGGTCATTCATTTTCCTTATATGTACACATCCTTTTGGAACATTTGTTTTACTTTAGCAATAGCCACCAGTAATGATTTTACACTAGCAGTATTTCAGATACAAATATGAACTTTATGATATCAGTTTAAGATTAAGATTTTATATCTACTTTTGTTAAAAGTTTACATTATTACTTGTCCCTTGTCATGGAGAGTTTCTATATTCGGATGGGTGATTTCATGGCCATCATAGCCCTCTTGCTTAAATTACAGTATTGATATGACCATTAAGACCGTGCTTAGAATAGGTTAAAAATAGGTAAAATAACATATTTGTATGTCATGTACTTCAAATCACATCGGTTCTCTCTTGCAGTCATGAACATGAAGTTTATACTATATTAATATTCAAAGAAGAATGGTGTTCATAGTTCTTCTCATCCTGGAGTTGGCATAACACTTTGGTTACAGTTATTATTTGTTACTTTTTCAACATCATATCTTGTTAAACACCAAAGATATTTGCTAGTTACACATATTTGAGATCATAATAGGAGTTAACCCTCTAAGGCCCATGACTCTGGCATGTATTTTAACTTTTAATTATGGATGACAATTTGTGAATACAAAAAGTATTCTTTTTTCTCAAAATTATGTAATGTATTTTTTTTAATGATTTTAGTTTATTCCTACATAATCCAAGCTCTTGTTTTATTTGTTTTATTATAAAGCTCTGAGGATAGTCAAGTGAGCTGTCCTACATCAACTGATATTTTATCCTTTCATACAGGGATGGATGAATTTTATTACACATTCCAAAGTGTTTACAAGAAATATGCTATTTCAAAAAGAATATAATATTTAAATAGTGTAAATGTTGCTGTCCTTATCTAGCTTGTAGTTATTCCAACTTTCTTTTTCTGTCCTGCTTTTGTCATTGTCATATTTTGTCGTAACTTTTATGTCCTTGTATTTATCAGTACAGATAGGAGTATACTCATATGAAACTTTGCAGCATTGTTTCTCCTCCTTATATTTAGTGACATAGAATAACACTGTAAAGCGTCTCCAGCTCTACCTTCTTGTTCCATGCACTTTCCAAGAATATTTAGAGCTGTTTCCCGATGTCCAAGGTTTGGTTCTTCTTTTATGGTACTGATAAGTTTTAAGAGCGCAGCTTGTTTCTGATCATGTCTCCCTAAATGGTTGTAAACTTTGTATTGTAGAAAGTAGAGGTAAGGGAGGGAATCCACCACAGCACAATCCATCCATTCATCATCTTCTGTACGAAACATTCTGTCCTCTTGTGTAGATCTAAACATTTCATATCTGAGTTCAGTTGGTACACAGTGAATTTCACATGGCAGAAATCTAACACATGATGCTGTTGTATACTGTAAGACTTCTTCATTATAATTGTCACATAATTGCGCAAATCCTTGTTTAAATATTTTCTCAAATTGATAACAACAACAGACAGACTCAACAATTTGAAGATCATAACTTCTTTCAATCTCACTGATTACTAGGTCAGCTTTTTGTATTTCTTGAACACAGTAAAGGATTGAAGCTAGTTTAAGTTTACTTGATGCAACATCTGTAGTCAGACCAAGTGAGATGAGTTTGAGGGCATCGGCTGATACAGTGTTGTATAGACAGATGTTGCGTGAAGCCAGGACAGATCCAAGTGTTGTACAATACCACCGTAACAGAAGAAGACTGGCTGTCTTAGCCAATCCTTCATATTGACAGTAGAATGCTTTTAATATATATTTTTTTAATTTTTCTACAGCTTCATTAGGACTACTGTCCTTAAGAAGATTACAAGTTTCTGTTAGTGTGTGAGATTTTCCGAGAGCCAGATTAAATAATAGTGTTCCTGAAATAATATCACTTTCCTTGAATGGACATAAGTTATAAAACTTGAGATGAAGCCTTGAACCAAGAGCATCACATTTAATGCCAAGTAGTGCCACTCCTTCACTGTTGATAATATTGTTGAGTATTTCCAGGATATATGGTTTGACTGCAGGTGAAATTTTTCCCCTCATTAAATTGTTCCCAGGTATGATAAAATGTGGACAATTCTCATTAATGATATTGGTGTACAGGAGATATAAACATTGTGTTAGACAAGAAAGTAAGTTATTTTTTCTCCAGATGTTAGAATGTGTATTAGCAATACAGTGGAAGACTACAGTTTTACACATGTAACTGGATATCACATCTTGAAAGAATGGAGTAATATATGCTTTTAAGATCACTTTCATTAAGACATAACAGCGAATCTGTGTAATATTCAGGTTGAACATTAAACACCTTTCTGCTAAAGATGTTGATATTCTCCATTCAAGTTGCTCATGTTTACTGCCTCTACATCCAACACCAACAACAAAGCATCCAGTTCTGCTGCAATATTGTTTCATTTCAGCAGACGGCCATTGATCTTCATCTTGTTGATCCAACCATTGTCTAGCTTGTTGGGGCCATGTTGTACAATGTAGAGCAAACACTTTATCTAAATCATTGTAGCCTGATTGTCCTTTTAGTATACCTGCAGGCCCATGTATTTCGCGGTCTCTATTGCAAATATTTACTATAGAATTCGTAAAAAACAATTTTCCTGTTCTGTCTTTGAAGAAGTATTGATCAGAATCACCATTAGCAGAAAGAGGTACATCAACTCTCAGACATTGAAGTAAACAATACCCAGGAGATACAGAATTATCTTGAATCATCAAGAGATTACCTACACCAGGTATCCAGTCACTCCAGTCTTGTATCACATTAAATGTTTTATTGTATATAAGTTGATCTAAGTCTGATTGCATTCCTATTGTAGTTGTACCTTCTGATTGACTCCCAAAAATGTGTGTTAAAATACTATTCTTATCAAGTAGTTGGTCATTTATATTTATTAGTGATTCTCTCAGAAGCCATGTTCTTCTCCTCTTCAGTATCATTCTCTCATCAACACCTATATCAGCCAGAACCTCTGATAATCTCATTGACACAGTCTGGGTGTAATTTGGTACTTGATACATTCTGAAAATATCATTAATGTTTGTTTCTAACATATTCAATTTCTTTACTTCTTCTTCTGTTTTTTTATCTAAGATTACCATTATCAGATTAATATTGTTTTTTTTGTTAAATTGTCAATTTTCCTTTATAGAAAATTGTTTAAAAATAAGTTGATATCATCATCATAATGAATGATGATGGTTATCAAATTGTGTTATTTTATGACAAATGTATTGTAGAATTTATATGGTGCATCAAATGGCAGCCATATTGTTTTGTTGAAAATTTTAGGTCAAAAATTAAAACTTTCAACTGAAGTATTGTGAGGTACATTTGAAAAGGAAACTGTTGAGGCATTAATCCTTTACCTATAAAGAAGCTGTTACATTGCCTAAAAAGAAAAAAGAAAATTAAAATAAAAGCAAAAGCCTTACCTGAATCAGTTTGCAGCACATGTAACTTGTATGTCAAAATAAAGTTCCTTCCAATGATAAATATGTGATATGATGAATGAAAACTTTTAAAGTAACATCTATTTTAGTGACACTGAATCTCCATTACCTGAAAAAATTATTTATCAATTGAAAATTTGTATTCCAATAAGGCCAGTAAACACAGCATTATCTTAGTCCAATGTTTACATAGCATGTACACAAAAGTAGTGCAAGGTTAAGTATGGTGTACTATTATGGACATGGCTTACTGATAAAACAAGCAATTATCATAGTATTGCAAGCAATCCATAAGTCCCCTACCAGTTAGAACCCCATCAACATTCTGAAGGGCCATTGGCCATTCACTAATGTTTCAATTTTTCTCTATTTTAAGTAAATTTGTTGGAAAAGTTCTTTAAAAGTGATCACAGGAAACAGTTTTTATGAACAGACAGACGGACTGAAGGACACTCTAAAGTTAATATTTGAAACATCCCTGTTACCAAAATACAACATTTTAAAAGCAAAATTCTTAAAGAGGAGATAACTCTTGAATTAAAGATGCAATTTCATAAAAATTTTCAGCTCTTTTTGACTAATCACAATTATTGTTATATTTGCCATGTTTTAAGCCTATTTGTTGCCAAGGCAACTGATATTTGATCAAAATAGGAAGAACGGATAAGACATGCATAATCTCAAGACTGCTATCTACCCATATGTCAAGTTTCATAAAAGTATTTCCAGTATTTTTTGAGTTATAACTGGATTCAGTTTATGTGTAAAATTTGCCATATTTTCAGTCTATATGTTGCCATAGCAACCAGAATTTTCAACATAGGAAGAAAAGAAAAAGACATGCATAATCTCAAGACTGCCATCTACCCATATGTCAAGTTTCATAAAAATATTTCCAGTACTTTTTGCGTTATCACTGGATCCAGTCTATGTGTAAAATTTGCCATATTTTCAGCCTATTTGTTGCCATAGCAACCAGAATTTTCAACATAGGAAGAAAAGAAAAAGACGTGCATAATCTCCATACTGCCATCTATCCATATACCAAGTTTCATAAAAATATTTTCAGTACTTTTCAAGTTATCGCGGGATCCAGTTCATGCGTAAAATTTGCCATATTTTCAGCCTATTTGTTGCCATAGCAACCAGAATTTTCAACATAGGAAGAAAAGAAAAAGACGTGCATAATCTCCATACTGCTATCTATCCATATACCAAGTTTCATAAAAATATTTTCAGTACTTTTCAAGTTATCACGGGATCCAGTTTTGTGGACGGACTGACAGACTGATGGACGGACGGACAGACGGACGGAGGGTAAACCTAAAGTCCCCTCCGTTAAACCGGTAGGGGACTAAAAATTTACTGCAATAATCCATAAGATAAGCAGGATAATATTTCTTCTTGTAATAATTCATTAAAATGAATTGAAACATAACCTTCTTGCAAAATTAATTAAACATAAAAACCATAAAATCAGAAACTGTAAATTATTATATAGGATTAATTACATTCAAAGCTGTTGTAATATGATGTTAATATTAAAAAGATATTATGCATAATGTTATTTAAATATTTTTTAAAATCAATTTTTAAATATAAAAACATACAGTACATGGTATAATGTAAATTGGAAGAGAAATAAAGTATACCATTACAAATCTATGAAAGTTAAGGTGCCTACATTATAGTCTTTGATCAAAGAATCTACTTCATATGACGCATCTTCGCCTTCATATAGCACCTCATATACTGCATCAGGATTTTCGTCTTTTCCAGAAGAAACAGAAAGCAGGGTGCCTTTGTACCAATTCAGAGAGCCGTCTGATTCTGTCCACTGGTGGTTGATTCTCCTTCCAAGGAATTTTAATTTTCTCAAACCTGTTGATCTGCAAATTTGTATAAAAAAATATTAACTATCCTTTTCAAATACATGTTGAAGGCACTTAAAATCTGAAATAAATATTTATAATTTTTAGCCATTTCTAAACTTAAAATAAAGTTGCAAGTTAAATTTGCTCATTTATTTGGATGTTATGCCAAATTATATTTGGATGTTATGCCAAATTAATGTTTAAAAATAGTAAACAAAAGTTAATTTGAGAACAATTTACAGTTGCTTATAGTGTATAAAGGCAATAATATATGTTTATAACCATCATGATAGGAAAGGATTGCATGTAATGCACAATATTTTGTCAACATTTGTGTTACAGTACACAGTGAAAAAGTACATGAACATAAATTAATATAACAGCTTCATTCAAAAATTATAAAATTCAAATAAGGGTATATTGAAAATTCTAAACATCATTAAAAATTTAAAAATACTTCTTTATACATGTACATGTATACAGAGCAATCTAAACATTAATACTGCTAGATACCAACTTTACTTAAAAAGTACATTTCAACTGTCCCTTTCCATAATGTAAGAAACAAAATTACCTGTTACTGAAGACCACCTGCCTTTAAAGAACACTTTCATGTTTTCTGCATATTGGTATTTCCTAAACAAATTTACAGCTGTAAAAAGAGTGCAAATTGGTAATATCTCCTATTTAACAGAATTCTTTAAAGATCTTAATTATATATAGTTATATATACATTAAAATAAATCACCTTTTACTTGATTGTGTTGGTGTTGGTATTAATGGGGTTGCAATGTAAATTATCTGTGTCTGTCTTAATCTGAGTATGTGAGTCTTTTTGGTCCAATTTGTCACCTTCAATTTTCTTACAGTTCTTTTTCTCTGATCTCTTGCAGGATGTACCACAAAACTGTAAAATATAAAAATGAAGGATTACACAAAAGATACAGGTTACAATAAATATATTTTTATTATTATTCATGGTAATTTATTATATATGATGATATATATGTAAGCACATGTAAATATGCTGAAAAAACAAAAACATTATTATTATAAAAAATGAGTATTACATTTATGGGGAACATACCCATGGTAATTCAGGTTTTCTTATTCCAGATAGAGTACCATGTCTTGGAACTGCTAATTCAGGTAGCATGTGGGTGAAATAGAAAGCCTTTAATTTGGGAATCATAACATTTCTCCATAATTCTGTATCATAGTATATGCGCTGAATAAACATATCATGTGGATTTACTCTTCTAATTATTAGATCACACCATTTGTAATTCATAATATTCATCTGACCTTGTATTTGATAAAAATATTTATGATTTTTTTTCAGTTGAATAATGCCATTCTGCACTGACAAACAAAAGGCTTTATCATTTTCTGCTGATTCTTTGATCATTGCTTTTTTGTTCTGTAATAAAGTCTTAATTTCAATGAGACCTTCAGGACCTTTGGATCCCACTACGCGCCATCGCTGGAGGCTGCTAAATAAGGATTCAGTTTGTCAATAATTAGACCCGGAATATCAATTTTGTATTTAAGATTTTCTTCTTTTCTTTCAAATTAATGTATTCAATTCTTGCATTATCCTCTTCACTTAACCCTTTCAAAGTATACATGTTTCCTTTAAAGTTGGAATACAAAAGCCTTTTCACTAAATTGGGACGGTTATTATTTTGTGATCTTGACATCACTTCTCCAAATACAGAACTTGTGAGTCTTTTCTTTCTTTCAGCAAACCAGTTAATATTACTTGACGGACCACGTGTTTGCTGTTCAATTAATTTACTATTGCATGTAGATATTGTTGATTTATAAAACGTATCACATTCCTTTTTTAATTGTGATGGACTGATATCAGCTGTATCTTGCAGCACAGTTTCGCCATATTCTTTTCTTGCTTTCTTACTGCTGCTTTCAACAGATGCTTTCATTTTCTTCAATTTCCTTTTGTTCCTGTTTATTTCACTACCTTTGGCACGTTTGGTACATCTGTAGCGTACAAACCTTTGTCTATATGTGTTAATAAAAACTCTATCTGGGCGTTTACCTGTAAGTTGATTATAAACTTGTGGTGACCATGCTGGACCTAGCAAAGACCTCAACGCTCCACCATAACATCTTGCGTAAAATGAACCACGGAAGCATTTATTGAACATTTCACCCCCTTCAAATTTACATTTAATGCTCATCCAGGACTCGGCTAAATTACTGGTAAAGTTACCAATCAAACGGTTTGCCTTTTCAGATAGACGATTCAGAAATAGAAAAATGTCTCTTAACAACTCTTCAATATTAAAATTTTTCTGTGATATTGTCTTACCGCCCTTTCTTAACATTTCAATTTCACTTTCAGAATAATTTTTTACAGAATCAGTCCAGTACTCGCATTGGCTTATTATGACAATTATCTTCTTCATCATTATTGCTATTTTCCATTTTATTATCATTTGATTTTGTTATGTCTGTATCTTTCTCCTTATTTTTACAAAAATCTATGGAACATAAATCATGTAAGCCAATGACATGTCTCCCGGCATTTCGTATATCCTGTTTAAGTTTTTTAATTGCTGTCATTTTATTTGGTTCAGAACTTCGCATTACAATAGCGCATCTTACTCCACAACAAATTCTTCTAATGTTATTTCTCGTGAGTTTACCTTTTCCTTTATAATGTGGCTTTTCAGATATTAAACGTTCTAAATTAGATCTAAGGCATTTAGTGGCATGGTTAGCACATTCAATTTTTTTGACATATTGCCCTCAAACAGGTACATTCTTTATAATATTTGCATACAGGGAACTGTCTCCATCAGCTATTACATGCAGGTATCTCACTCCATGTTGTTTTTCACAATTTAAAAAACCTTCTAAAATTATATCACTCTCCATTGCCTGGGAAGATTCAATCCAGTTTTTAAAGCACTCATGCTGTACTGGTTCTTCATTTACAGTCTCAGCACGGCTACATATGTAACACATTTTATTTCTGATACCTACATGCAGAAGTTTCTTTGTTCTAGCCCCGAAAATGACGGCAACTCCAGCCATGGCATTGTAGCTATGTTTGTGACTTCGCTTACTCCAGCCTCCATCACATATGACAGTTATTGCTGGAATACCTTGAAAATATTCGTCATTTTCCTCTGCCAATGCACGCTCTTCCTGACCTGCTTTCACAAGTTCTTCATCAAGAAGGGACTTCCACATATGTCCAATCTCATTCTCAATTGAAGAGTACTTTTTTTCAGTAATGCCTGGAATTCCTATACTTCCAAAACATTCATTGAGCGAAGAGCAACCTCCTCCTGTTACCATGCTACCCCAAACTGAACGCACATTGATATCAACCATATTTGTATAACCAAACTAATATCACTATTTTCCAGTTCAAATGTCTTACCACATCCTTGGCATTTACAGGTGATGATGGTATAAAAACCGTTCCTTTTTATATGCCCGAAAGAATTTCGGACATATTATGTTATACCCCCTGGCGTCCGTCCGTTAGCAATTTGGTTTCCGGAGCATAACTTAAGTTCCATTTGGCCCACAATATTCAAACTTCATAGGATGATTGTCCATATTGGGTAGAAGACCCCTATTGATTTTGGGGTCATAAGGTCAAAGGTCAAGGTCACTATGACCTTAAAACTGAAAACAGTTTCCGGAGCATAACTTAAGTTCCATTTGGCCTACAGTGTTCAAACTTCATAGGATAATTGTCCATAATGGGTAGAAGACCCCTATTGATTTTGGGGTCACAAGGTCAAAGGTCAAGGTCACTATGACCTTAAAACAGTTTCTGGAGCATAACTTAAGTTCCATTTGGCCCACATTGTTCAAACTTCATAGGATGATTGTCCATATTGGGTAGAAGACCCCTATTGATTTTGGGGTCAGAAGGTCAAAGGTCAAGGTCACTATGACCTTAAAACTGAAAACAGTTTCCGGAGCATAACTTAAGTTCCATTTGGCCTACAGTGATCAAACTTCATAGGATGATTGTCCATATTGGGTAGAAGACCCCTATTGATTTTGGGGTCACAAGGTCAAGGTCACTATGACCTTTAAACTAAAAACAGTTTCCGGAGCATAACTTAAGTTCCATTTAGCCCACAATATTCAAACTTCATTGGATGATTGTCAATATTAGGTAGAAGACCCCTATTGATTTTGGGGTCACAAGGTCAAGGTCACTATTACCTTAAAACTGAAAACAGTTTTATGAATATAACTTAAGTATCATTTGGCCTACTGTGTTTAAACTTCATAGTATGATTGTCCATTTTGGGTAGAAGACCCCTAATGATTTTGGGTTACAAGGTCAAAGGTCAAGGTCACTTTTACCTTAGAATTGAAAACAGTTTCTGGGGCATAACTTAAAGTTCCATTTGGACCACAATATTGAAACTTCAAAGGAGGATTGTTATTTGAAGGAGGTAATACTTTATTTTACTCCCATGTCTTACAAATGCTTCATCTTTAATAAAAAAAAATCACTTTCGGGCATATAATGCTCCGCCTAGCGGTGCTCTTGTTTCACTTTCCAGGACAATAACATTGTCATTTGAAAGGGCTTTCATGTGAGCTTCAGTGCAAAGAGCGGCATGTGAAGTTATTTCTAAAATGTGATTTTTCAGTTTATGCATGTTAATGATTCTACTACCTTATTAATTATCTTTCAATGATGTTATATACAGTCTTTCTTTTTCTTTATCGAGCAAACATTTGAATTTTCTAGCTCTCTGAATAATAATTTTACTAAGTGTAAATTTCAAACCTTGTTTTTTCTGCCTAATATAGAATGGGTCCACATGTTTAATATTCCTAAATTTTCTTCTCAAATTTTCATCTTTAATGACAATTTTCCTTCTATATTTCAAACTATGAATTCCAGTGGCCTTATTAAAAACTTGTCTTTTCCCTTTCTGATTTCTTTTATTACCCATCCTGGTGGATTAAAACTTTCTTGTGCCACTACAATATTTCCTTTAATTTCAAGCTATATGTTCACCACAAGTTATCCAAGTATAAAATATTTCCAAATTAATGAATACACAGACACAACAATTGAAATAAATTCCATAAAATATATTTTAAAATTAAATTCCAGGAATTTTGAGCACATCAGTACACCATACTGGTTACTTGTATATCCACTTTCATTCATGTCATTTCACGCTTCATTAGTTTGAAAAATATTTTTGTAAAACAATACAAATTTCGGGCTAACTTACCTTCAAAACTTAATTATAATATTACACTTGCATAATTATTCAGAAGAAATAAAATACAATTCATAAAATTGTTTTTACAGGGCATTCGAGAACCTGTTGTTTTTGTTTACATTTTGTTGAATGAAAACGAAAGTTACTTATTTGTAAATGCTAAATCATCGTACAACTTGGCCGATCGGTATAACAATTTATGGAATAAAGAAAGTGAAGAAAGTACCAGTGTATAAATTATACTTAATACATCTGATCTTACCGGTAATAACTCAATACAAGTTGAAAAGAAGATTTTCCGCCACAACGTGTCTACAATTCCGCCATGTTTAATTACTTGGTACCCATTCTAACAAACTATAGTAATCGTAACGCGCACGACATTGGGGTAACCATACGAAATCCATATCCGCCCAATTGTACGGAATTAAAAGAATGTACGCGATTGTTCAAAGTTCCATGATATAATGCGTGTATTTGAAATACGTTTGTTATATTGATATTTTTTAACAAAGACGAAAACAAAACAATAAAAGAAATGTCATTTTCCTTAATATGCGCCAAAATTACCCGATCTTTCAGGTCAGGTCTACTTCAGTGTATGAATATTTTTTAATTCCTTTCGTTATCACAGGTTATCGGCGTGGGACCAAGCCCTACCCCTAAGGTACCACCCCCCAGGACCCACTATACTACCCAAATATACTTCAATACATTCAAAATACATGTCAATACAAAATCAAACAATCCTATCAAAAAATATAATACTGATACTATAAACATGTATTTTGAATGTATTGAAGTATATTTGGGTAGTATAGTGGGTCCTGGGGGGTGGTACCTTAGGGGTAGGGCTTGGTCCCACGCCGATAACCTGTGTTCGTTATGCGGTCAACAGAAAGCCGAAAAATGTAAATAAATACAAGAAAGATATTACTATGTCAGGTATAAAGCGATCGAAATGAAATTCTGTGTATTTAGGTATGGTGTATGAATATTTTTCTTCATGGGAATATTAATCAGTTTTAATTTATTTAAAAAAGCGAAGCATAAGAAGAATATCCTTTGGGAAAAAACGACGTAAAAAAAGACACATTTGATAAAATGGCGGGTCAAAAATATATGCCGAAGCACGTGAAAAGTTTGGAATACGTAAAGGAGGTTATTTAACCGAAATTTATCATTCGGGTGCACTAATTTGATATATTGACTTAATGTTTATGAAAGAATTTGTATCTAATACTTCGTAATTAAACCAAATTTTGACATAGCAGTATGTGTGTAATTTTCAGTTTCAAACTTTTGCAACACTGTCATATTTTAATTTTTGAATAAATAAGTTACTCCAATGATGACATATCCCTATATATTTAATATGAAATTAGGCAAGGCCTATGAACGGGGAAATCGTTAAAAATTCCTTTCATTCTTTCCGTTTTAAAGGTGTTATTCGGTATTACATGCACCGCTTCCGTTTTCACTCGGAACACTCGACGATTATCATTTATCCGAAAAGTTGAGATTTGTTCCGTTATCGGAATACCCCGCCTATTATCATTGAGTTACATTGTAAATGGCGGCGCCCGACTAGAACTGACACTGAAAAAAATCATTGATAGGTATAGAATTCTATATATTTTTAAATTGTTTTTTATTTGATTTTCTTTTACATATACACGTGTAGTCTATAGCTGGGCAAGCCAAAGCCCGGAATCGCTTCGCGGGCCCGGTCTTTGACTTCCCCGTATTAAAATTTAACTTTTTTTACTCAATACTCTTCTCTATTTTGCAATTCAGCAACTGCCATTTAATGTTGAGGAGTAGCACATTCACAAGTTTGATGTACCTTATTTGGTGAAAATTGATTTATGCTGTTTATTTCTATATACCCTCTGAATCGAAAATCTCAATCAAATCCATAACTTTGAAATTTTAATCAACACTAGTCAGTTTCATATTATCTTTAATCCTATACAAAACTTGACCACTTTTTGAAATCAATTTAAACTTGTCAGTCGTGTAGAGAAATCATTAAATTTTTACCTTTTTGTTTATATCTGCTGCAGATTTAAGATCATGAAGTCACTAGATGTTCAGTATTTTAAAGAAAAACAAAATATTTTAGAAGTTTACAATAAGAGTAATTTGGTTTTTCTGGTTTTTCTGGATTTATTTTTAACTTCCTCTTTCTCTTTTAATCTTAAAAAGATAACTCTGTTGAGCTGTTATTTCATATCTGACATTTGTTGTCTCCCTTTGTTGAAGAAAACTGACCGACATTGTCTCCCTTTGTTGAAGAAAACTTACTGACATTGTCTCCCTTTGTTGAAGAAAACTTACTGACAAGCTATTTGGACAAGATAAGATAAAGATAAACTATACTAAGTTCATGCTTCATGTATGCTTCTTGTATGTATAAAGGGACTCCACTGAGTTTTTTGTCATACCGGACTGAAATATTTTTTCAAGATTAATGTTCTATTTCATGTAGGTCTAGACGATATTAACTTTTGTTAAAAAAAATCAGACCATTGACTCAGTTTGTTTTTCCAGCAAAGTTATTCTTATTGTGAACAGTGACACAAAAGTTTTACTAAGTTACTACGCTTTTCCCTCAAATTGAGCTAAGAATAGCACAAAAGTATAATTTTTGTGTCGCCTCTACAGAGTAGTGGCAACATGTAGATATCACCCTTTCCGTCGTTTGTCTGTATGTCTGTCTGTACAAACATATAGATATTTAGGGGGCTATTGGAACAATAGATAACAGTAAATTTCCTTTGATGCTATTCATTCAGTAAGCTCTTATGTGGCCATTTTTTATGTGGCTGAAAGAACAAAATAGAGAATAAATAAGTAACCACTTGGATACCAAACTTTGAGCAAGTCCGTCTGTTCGTCACAAAACTTTTATGGACTACACCTCAGAAACTACTGGTGCAATTTCATCCAAACTTTACAGGAATTATCAGTACCAAGTTAAGTTGTGCATATCTTGGGCATTTTCTGGTTCAATGATTTTTGTCAGGGTTGTGGCTCTTTAATAATTATTATTTTAAAGTTTGTCAGGACTACTCTTCTTTAACCAGTAATACAATTTTAATTAAACTTTTACAGTTTTGATCTGTAGCTCAAGTACATGTCCAAATTACACAGATTTTCAGGTTGAATAATATTTGGTCAAATAATGGCCCTTGAATATAAAAGGTGGTTTTTTTGTTGGCAGCTACATAGAAGCTTGTCCGGACTACTTATCAGAACTACAGGTTCAATTTCAACTATACAGGAATGACGGGAAATATTTTATGCCCCTTTTAATTTTAAATTTTTGCCCTGTTAAATAATTTTTCTTTTTGGTTACCATTACTAAATCCTTAATATCATGAGGCAAACAATTAAAAAGGACCCCTCTTTTAAATTAGCCTTCACACTTTAAATGTTTTTGGCATTCAAGGGTAAAATTTTTGAAAATCAGGAAATTTTCTCAAATTTTCGTTTTTTTTTTTTAAAGTTAAAAAACACATTCATGGGGTTTATTTTTTTCTAACACAACTTTTATTTTATTTTTATAAGAACCCATTTCAATGAATTTAAGATTTTGAATTCCTACCCAAATTTCCAGTTTTGAATTTTTCTACCCCTTTTTATTTAATAAATTTTTTTAAATTTTTACTGTTGCAATTTTCACCGGCCGGGTCCACCGGGCCAGTGCTAAATTCGATGACTGGTAATCTTCAAAGTTATTGAACAAATTGCAGGCAGGCAGCTTTAAAATGATAGTTCATAATGATAAACCTTAGAATCTTTATATTGCATTAATAGACTAAGAAAGAATAGACTATTTTCATAACTAATGCAAAGAAAAAAAATCGCCATATTGATAAAATACTGAATTTTCCTGCAAATTTGAAATATATTGAAATTGTCTGCAAATTTGAAATATACTGAATTTTCCTGCAAATTGGAAATCCCCACAAAGCCTCTTACCTTTTTGTGTTGCCTTGAAAAGGCGACATATAGGGGTTACTTTTGTCGGCGGTGTTGGCAGCGGTGTTGGCATCGGCGGTGTCGTTGTCGGCGTCCCCTAAAGCTTGTCGGGCAAAGCTCAGTCACTATATATATATAAGTTGGATTGACTTCAAACTTGGTATGCATGCTTCTTTCAATAACCCGAAGTGCAGTGCACAAGAAATAGTTATCTGCACTTCTAAATTTTTGAGTTATTGCCCTTTGTAAATTTTCATACTTTGATTTTGTCCGGGCCATTTCTCTTCAACTACAATAGGTATATGGACTTGAAACTTAATAGGATGATAAATGACGATAAAAGTGCAGTGCCACAAAAACCGGTACTCTTCACTTCTTATTACCCCCCGCCGATGGAATCGGGAGGGGATATAGTTTTGGCGTTGTCCGTCCATCCGTCCTTCCGCCCGTCCATCCGTCCGTCCGAATTTCGTTTCCGGAGTAGTTCTCTGCAACTACTGGTTGGGAATTCAACGAAACTTTATGGGAATCATCAATATCAAGAGGAGATGCGCATATTGTCAGCTTGTTTTCTTCAAACCCTTTTAAAAACTCAAATTATGGCCCTTGCATTATTATGAGTATGAATATAAAATAAAAATAGTTTCCGCACAATTTCCCTCGCAACAAACGCCTAGAATTTAACGAAAATTTTAAAGGGGCCCTTCAATCCCAAAAGAGGGGGATGCGAATTCTCGGCTTGTCCTCAGACACTTTAAATTTCAGATTATGGCCCTTGATTGAGTTAGCAGTATCCCATTTTGAGAAAAAAAATTTTTTTCCCCGCGCTACTTCTCTGAATCATGGCGGGAATTAAAACAAAAAACTTTAGGGGGAAACTTAAATATAAAAGGGGGAATGGGGCATATTGCGCCTTGTTCCGGCAGAAAATTAAAACCAAAGATTTATGGCCCCCCTTGATTATTTAGAGTAGCATATAAGAAAATATCGTTA